AATTATCCCCTTAAGAGTGGAATTTTGAAACTATTTACCCTACATTATAACAAATATTAATTATCTCCTTAGGAATGGAATTTTGAAACTATTTACCCCTAAACTATAACAAATCTTAATTATCCCCTTAAGTATGGAATTTTGAAACTATTTACCCCTAAATTATAAGAAATCTTAATTATCCCCTTAAGTATGGAATTTTGAAACTATTTATGTCACATGGCACAAAAAACTTGCTTCATCCCAATTTATGAATTTCACCTTCCTTTTTATTCAATCCATCTTCTACTCAATCTTAAAATAATTTTGATCATATTTAAAAAAAGAAAATGAAGAATTGTGTGTTTCTTTTTTTAATTGGTTCAGGTCTGGATGCATAAAATGGATGAGATAATCTTTTTAAGCCAAATGACATTTTGAAAATTTAAAAACCAACTTTAAGAGATATTTCTTAATTCAGTCTATTAACGTAGAAAGTAAATATGCATTATTTGTTAGAGAATAAAAATATATATATATAAGCCTCATTTGTTAGACATTACGGGGTTGTTTATTTCAAAGAGTAATAACACAGGGATTAGTATTATATGGATCAGTAATATAGAATTTATTTTTGTTAAGCGTTTGATTCATTGTTTCCGACTTCATCTTATATTTGGTTTAAAACTCTATAACAAGTTCTTTTTTCAATTATACCCTTGATTTATTATGTAATTGACTCAAGAGAGATAATTGTTGGACAACGCTTTTTTATGGCCTTCGAACTAGGGTTAATATTTCAAAAGGTTGCTCAAACTTGGATAAATATCTAGCAAGATCATTGAACTTTATTTTATATCAAAAAAATCACTCAACTTAAATTTTTTAATACAAAATCGATTATCTATATTTATCATTAAGTAGTTTAAGCTTTTAAAATTTTTGGTCTATACTCTCTACTGTTGACGACAATTGAATTAAATTCACCTTTTAATATTATTATGTTTATCACTTCCCTTATTGAATTCCAGTTAACTCAGTAGTGGAAAAGATATGTGTATGTATACGCACGGTATAATTTACTTGAATAACAAATTATAAAGGAATCAATAGGCTTTAGATCCTAAAATTGAATACACATAAATTCTATACTTTACACATAAAAATTGGATAAATTATTTACATTTACACATAAAATTGGATAAATTATTTACATTTACACATCAAATATTGTTTATACTATCGACTTTGAGTATTACTTAAATAAATTGGAATACATATGAATGTATATGGATCAAAGTTTATTTTCAATTAATTTTGGTATTGTCGATAAAATAAACTAAGAAGAGCAAAGTTGAAGCAATGGAAGCATCTATCCAAAAACTTTTTCATGTTAGAAAGAAGACTTAATAAGTTATTAATAATTTTTTTTATGAAATCAATTTGTTAGATTTTTTTTATTAAAAAAAAAGTAAAAAGTTATCATTGATGATTGTCTCAAATTGCTTCAATGGTGTTGACGGGAAATGAGGTAAAAATAATGAGTATAGGAAAACATTGCAAAAAAATCTTCTTATCTTTGGCAACCAAGAAAAATCCTAAACAAACTCATACAATTAATTTAGAGTTCAAATTATCATATAATACTTTTATTATTATTATTATTATTATTATTATTATTATTATTATTATTATTATTTAAATATTAATAATAAGTAATATATTTTTAAAAATAAATATTTCTAAAAATGAGTTGATGGTGTAATTTGTTTTGTCCATTGCCAGTGGATACAAGTTAATCTCAATTTTAATATGCATGTAACTTTTTAAATTGTTAAAAATATAAATAATTAGAAAACATTGTATTTTGAACAATTTAAGTTGTAATTTTTTATATATTTATTTGTATTGGATTCATTTTGTAACAAACACTTCTCTCTATATAATTTGTAACGCCAATTTATTTAAATCAATTACTAGTATAAATATAAATCATAAAATCAAGAAAATAAATAAAATGATTAAAATGATTTGAGGGATATCTTTGCCTTTACATAGACTTATCTCATGGTATTATATCAATATATTACTAATACCTTCACCTTCAAATGGAAGGTATTAGTAATACATCCTATAAGACCATGTAGGAGGTATAACTAATCCATTGAATAGGTATACATTAGGCCAAAATTCCTACCAAACATAGTACTAAATAATACCTTACACAATACATGGATTATTTCTTCTAATGCGGCCTACCAAACGACCCCTAAGGGTGTGTTTGGTATAAAGAAAAATGTTTTCCAATTTCTCATGTTTAATTGGGTCAAATGTTTTGAAAAATGTTTTTCAAATCAACTTATATTTCTCAAATTTATGAAAAATGAATTTCCTTCAAAATTTTAGGAAAACATTTTCAATACTCTCTTCCAACCCCACCCTACCAGCCCCTAGAGGTGGGCATTCGTAATTCAATTCGGTTTAAGGTTGTTGTTTTTTTTAAACTTTTTTGATTTTTGGTTCTTGTACAACGTGTACTGAACACCGAATCGAAATAATTTGGTTCAATTCGATTTATATTATTTCGATTCATTTTTTTATTTCGGTTTTTTTAATGGGCCTGCTTAGTGAACTTTATAAAATCTAAAAATTTACAATTTCTTTTTTGATGTTTCAGCTTAATAGGCTAAAATTAGTTACATCAAAGAATTGTCTTTTACTTTTTTTTATTTTAAATTATAATATTTATTATTTAATATTAATAATTAATATAATATAAATATATATTATAATATAATATATTTCGATAAACCAAAATATCGAATAACACAAAATTACATATCGAAAATTGAATTAAAATATCAAAAAATACAAAAATCTATACCAAATATCGAATCAAAATATCAAAAATAATTTGATTTGGTTCGATATTTCGACTTTTCGGTGTTTATGCCCAGCCCTACCGTCCCCCTACCCCTAAAAGGAACTTAAGTTTATGTTTAAAAAAATATTTTCAATTTCAAAATTTTATATTTTTCACCCCTACCCTTGATCTCCCTACCACTCTGCATCCCAAAAAAATAATTTAAATTAGCTTTTTACAAAGGGATAATGCCCAAGTACCCCCTCAACCTATGCCCGAAATATCAGAGACACACTTATACTATACTAAGGTTCTATTACCCCTGAACTTATTTTATTAATAATTTTTTACCCCTTTTTAGCTTACGTGGCACTATCTTGTGGGCCCAACGATGGTTGACTTTTTTTCGAACTAGTGCCACGTAGGCTAAAAAGGGCTAAAAAATTACATATAAAATAAGTTCAGGGATTAATAGGACCTTAGTATAGTATAAGTGTGTCTCTGAGATTTCGGACATAGATTGTGAGAGTACTTGAGTATTTTCCCTTTTACAAATATTAAATTCAATTTTTCACCCTTACCCTCCACCTCCGCCCACCTCACCCCTCCCCAATCCTCCACACCCCCAGAAAATTTAAATAAATTTAAGTTTGTTTTTTAAAAATATTTTCAACTTCAAAACCTCGCCCCTCACACACGCACCACCCCCTACCCCCTACCCAAAAAAAAATACTCCCCTTATTACACCATCCACAGACCAGAATAGGTAGAGAAAGTTCACACTAAAAGTAGTGAGAAAAAGAAAATATGAATACTCCATCAAAGAAAACTGGTACTTCTTCTTCAAATTCAAAAGATGAAGCAATAATTATATATCAGCAACGGAAAATGCAATTTCACGGCACCAGAAAAGGGGATCTCGAAACCATAGATTCATATATCAAAAAATTAAAATCCGCAGCTGATTCTCTAACGGCAATCGGCAATCCAATTTCAGATCCAGATTTGGTTTTGCAACTTGTAGCTGGTTTGCCTCATTCTCCATACTTGCTCCTCAAAAACACGATTTCGTCTCAGTTACCTCTTCCAAATTTCTCAGAGGCTTGTTCCATGCTTTACGAATACGAGAAAACGACATCAACTCCTCCTCCTCCACCTCCATCCAGAGGAGAAAACAGTACTAGTAATACTGGTAAGAGTACTCTGGAGATGATCCATGATATAGCAAATACTGTGACGAGTGTTGTTCCGATAGCAAGCGAAATTTGTAATGCGATAAGTAGACGCTGGTCTGTTAGTGGTTCTTCAGGAACACCAACAAGGGCGACTCCAGGTCCAGGAAATACGAAAAAAGGATCTACCGGAGGAAGAGGAAGGGGAAACAATAACAGAGGCAGAGGCAGAGGCGGAGGCGGAGGCAGAGGAGGATCTTCTACTCGCAATTCTACTGGGAAATAGTATATTTGCTTGGAGTTGTTTGGAAAAATTCTATCTATACAAACTTGTCTTCTTTTTTTTTCCTATTTAGTTGTACACTTTAGAAATGACACGTATTAAGATAGCAATAATCAGTATCGTAAAATTATAATATTATCCTTGTTAATTATGATTTCAAAAATGATGGATTAAAACTTAAAAATTTTCAAGAAGTTTAAAACTTTTTAGCAGTTGGGTTTATAGGACGGTTCAAAATTGAACTGCAATTGATAACTCGAATTTGAAAAGAAGTTATTGATTTATTAGTAACAAATTATTGATTTAGTGATAACGGTTTGAATATTTATGTTATTGAGTTATCGATTTTTAATGATTTAAAGTTTTTTCTTAACGGGTTAACCGATGACCCAATAATAAAATAAATAATTATATTTATACCACTTTGTATATGAAGTTCTTCGGTTAGAGTTTAGTTTCATACTTTTATTTCTTGTTGTCTCAAACTTTTGGTTATTCAACAATGTAAAAGTGTTGGTTTTTGAAGCAAAATGTAACTTGTGAACTCATGTTCTTGGTTCATTTGATTTGTCACCTTGTTTTTAAGTGATTTTCAATGAGTTTTTTTTGTGTGTCAAAATTTTAACGGCTAAATTAATTAACCGAACTGATAACAATCAATAACCGATAATTCAATATCTTAATGATTTTATAACGGTTTATTATCTTTACAAATCAATAATCAATAAGGCAAATCGATAAACTTTTACCGAACCGATCAATACACAACCCACTAATTAGATCCAAGTAAATATGGGTATCTTAAACCAAAATTGACAAATAGTAGGGGCAAAAATGCCAACAAATCCTAAAATAAATGAAACTAAGGACGAAATGAAAATAATTAAAGACATAAAAAATAAAATCAAATCAAGATAATTGAGATGGTTCAAAAAAAAAAATCTAAAACCTTACTTACATGCAATAAATATATATGATATAAAGTTGTTGATCCAAGTCATTCACATCTTCATGATGAAAGACTACGTTTCTTAGCACCAAAGTAATCAAAGGAATAATTAGGAAAGCACTAATCCAACAGAAAAGTTTTAATGGGGTAATCCACTAGCTTTTGCTACATAGAATTATACTAAACCTTGACCTTAATAGAAAAACAAATAAATATTGGTGTGTTCAGTATGATCGTGTTTTATTGATTAATTTATTTTAAAATTAAGTTTACAAGTAATATTTGATAGGCATAATACATAAATATGATAATTAACTTGGTGTCAGTTGACAATTATAATATTTAATTTTGCGTGTGTATAAATAGACATTTTAACTTGTATAAAATTGAGCAATTAAACATATTCGTCCTACATGACACTTTACATGACAATTTTGTGTCCTACATGCAGTAGCGGAATTAAGATTTTCAATAAGGAGTTCAAAATCTCGAGAAATAAACACAGAAAGTAGCTTATGGGGGTTCGATATCTATTATATATATTTAAAAAATTACTTTAACCACGTATAAATAATATAATTTTCCGACGAAGGGAATTCAGATGAACCCCCTTGCAATAGGCTAGCTCCATTCCTGCCTACATGGCAATTCTACGTATATTATATTATGCAGGATATGTGTGTCTATATATTCAATTTTATACAAACTTAAGTGTTACTTGTGCACACCCAAAATTAAAAGGCACTATTATCCGTTGAACACAAATTAAAAATCATATTTATGCATTATGTTATTTTATATTAATTATATCCTTTTCTACCTTACTTTCACGTCCATCCATTGTAGCCCCCATCGCAATCATTCCATACCCACATCTTTTATAAATAATATTAATCTAAATTCTACATAATTAACTTTAACCTATTATTCTTTTACATGTATATCAAACATAAAGTAAAATAAATTACTTTTTTTAAAGTATATCTTCTAAACCTAACAACTTTTTTTGCTTTAGGAAGCTGTACGGAGCCAATACTATGTAAGGCTGTTTGGGTCTCATCACGAATTAATTTTCTTTTTTATATGCGATACCTTATAGTTTATTTTTTCATGCGATATTCGAAGCTCCTATTAAATCTCGAATTAAATTTAAAATTTATTTTACATGATCTGTTTGAGAGTGACACTCTCAATAATTTTTTTTTAATTTTCAAAGTTTAATCTCAAAATTTCTAATTAAAATTAATGACTTTCATCAATATACCAAAATTCACTTTAGCACGATATTTTATCGTTAAATAGAACTTGGGTTCCAATATAAAAAGTAGATGGAGCAAAAAGACAAAGATATGTCTATTTCATTATAGTTTTCATATTCCCTTAGATCTGAAGACCAAGTCAGCTCATTTTCTATCAATCAATATGAGTTACTTCACGAGTAAGCTAATTCATATATGTATTATTCTCCTTTTTCGATTTATATCATATTATTTGAACTCCTAAAGAATTTAAAAAATAAATAAATACTTTAAAATTTATTATAAATACTTTTATATTTTTATCTCAATATAAATAGCAATATTGCATTCTGTAAAAAACTTTAAAATGAAAATAATACATTAAAATTTACAGTTTTAAATAAATATTAGATATTTATATAGATGAAAATCATTTTATTAAAGTTATAGATAAAATTGAAGTTAAGATATTTCTTATTATATAAAAATGATTTATTTTTTAAAAATGATTCTCCATCTGTTTCAAATAGAATGACCTCTTTTCTATCACATGATCCAAAAAAATAAAAAAATTAAATTTTGTATCAAATCAAACTAGACCAATTTTTTTAAATAAAAAAAACTATCATCTTTCTTTTTGATGGGTAGAAAGAAAAGAGCATCACGTAAATTAAAAATAAAAAAAAGTGATATTATCAACGGTACATTACTTGACTTCACCCACCAATAAAGTTGCCAAAAAATAAAAAGTTAAACCAATAATGTTCTCTCATCGTACTACTTTAAATCTTTTATCGTAAAATACAAAATATACCAATAAAATGTTGCTATCCAGTCCCTCATTTTCTCCCTAAAACTTTTTCATATATAATTTTATTGTGCTGAAGCACTTAACTAGCTTTGTAGTGGTATATATCAAATTATAATATTTTATCAAAATTTTTAATATCGTCATTTTAGTTATTGTATTTGATATGATATATGGATATCTAAATTTTTTTAATATTTGATATTAAGAAATAATATATATATATATATATATATATTAAAATATTAAATTTTAATTTGTTAAATTTATAATTAATATGAGTAAAATAATAAATTCACTTTTTAATAGATGCGTCAATTTAACCATTAGTTAAATATTTTGTTCATTTATGTCATTACAGTTCAAGAAAAGACTCATTCATACCATTATTTTAAACAATGACTTTGCAAAATCATTTTTGACACGTGACTAATTATAATTCGGTAACATCATCAATTCTAATAAAAAAAATAATTGAATTTTTATTCGGAATTTTGATTTTTTAATTAAAAAAATTAATGGTTAGGCCAGTTATTATTTGGCCACGTCATTAATTCTTTTGATTACAAAAATCAAAAAAGTTAATTCAAATTTTGTTCAAAATTATAATTTTTTTATTTACGGCTCACGTGTCAAAAATGATTTTGCAAAATCATTATTAAAAAATAATTGCATGAATTATTATTTTCTTGAACGATAATAACATAGATAAAATAAATTTTAAACGAATAACATAAATGATTTTTTTCAAAAAATTTGATAATATATTTAAAACTTTTTCCATTTAAAAATAAACAAGTAATTAAGGAACGACAAGATAAAAGTACTCCATAATTGAACAAATGGTTCATATATTTTAATGGGTTTCAGTCTACTCAGAGAATAAGAAAAACCAGAGAAAATATAGAAGCAGAGTTCACTTCAATGAGTTTTCGAAAAGATGAATCTAATGGTTCCACAAATCCAGATGACGATAATAACATCAAGCGGACTCAACTTAAAATTCAATTTCACGCTACAACAAAAGAGGATCTCGAAAACATCGAATCCTATGTGAACAAATTGAAAACAATAGCCAATTCTCTAGCAGAAATCAACAGTCCCATCTCAGATTCAGATATGGTATTGCAACTTCTTGCTGGTTTGCCAATTCAATATTTACCCATCAAAAACACAATATCATCAAAGTGGCCTCTTCCAAATTTTGAAGACGCTTGTTCCTTGGTCTACATGCAAGAAGACATATTACTAAAGGTAAAAAATCGATTCAAAATTTAAATTTATATTTTCATGAAATAATTTTATCGTTGTTAGTAGTCACAGGATGAAGAGAAGCAGTCGTCTAGTTTTATCAGCGGAGAGAATTTTGATGCTGCGGTAAATGCAATTGGATCACTTAGTACTGTTGTTGGCGCAGTGGGTGTTGTGGCTTCGGCTGGCTGGAAAATTTGGCAGGCGATAGCACGCAAGTAAATTATTATTATTACATGTAATTAAAAGTCGACGTTTAGACGTGCAATTTTATTTGGAGATTTGAAATTATTAGTATGATACTAATATGGATAGAGTTTATGTAATTGGATCTTCGGTTTTCTGTAATCAAAGTTAGAGATGCTATCAAGTATTTCTTTCCGTTTAGATTTAGAGGGTGTTTGTATTAACTTAAAAGTTAATTAAATATATTTTTAAGTCTGTTTTTTATTTTTGAAAGTATTTGATAAATATAGAATTAGCTTAAAATAAATAGAAATTGACAAGTTACAAAGTGTTTTACAATGTTAAAATGATTTAAAATAAATTGGAAACCAAGATTTGCCCCTAATTTTTTTTTCTGACTTAAAAATTATTTCAGTTTAATTTTTTATTTTTGACTTAAAAATTACCTTTTTGCCCATCCAAATAGATTCTTATTTGTCTTACTTTTTTTTGTTTTTGTTTTTACTTACAAGTTTTAACTTTATATCAAGTTAAAATATGACCTAAATATTGAAATTAAGGGAATATTATGTATTTTGAGATGTTGTATTTGACATGTTTGATCATGAATTTTTTTCAGAGTTTTACTTTGAAAAATACGTTTGGCTATAAAACTTTAAAATTTAACTTTTGAGGAAAAATACATTTAATGTTCTACAAAAACTCCCTTTAGTTTCTCTTTTGGGGGTTAAAGTTTCACTTTTCATTTCAATATTCTTATCGTTTATATATGAAGTGGAATATAGGATAAAAACCAATATGAATATTATAAAGACAATAAAAAAAATTGTTACGTTTCCACCTTAAAGTGAAATATAGTATTTAATTCGTTCTTTCATTTAATGCCTATTGATGTTCCAAGAGTTGTATTCCGAAATCCTGGAGATCCAATTTCATATTGGGTTGACATATAGTGCGATTTGTCAGATATATTGGGTCATATGGTATTTCCCCGTTCTCTCCCCCGATCGAGATATCCCCCGTTCCGCCTCATTCCTGATCTCCTCGCTAAGATTTTATTCTCTCTCTAGGTTCTATTTCTTTGATCTTCTCTGCTTATTTTTTGAATTTCCTTTACCTTGGACTAGCCATTCAATAGATTCAAAAGGACCGGAGTCGTTCAAAGCGAAAGAAGTTCCGATCACAGCTTCTCAAACAAAATGAATTAGGGAAAAAAGAGCATTCGTAGCATCCATTCCTTTTCCTTGCTTGCCTCCGTTGATTAGACCTCATGATCCTAGTCCTACTCCTTTTCCTTCAGTCCTAGTGCTAAGAGGGCATATCCCTTATACTTAAGCATTCAGTTCCCTTTCAACCGGTAAAAGCTTGGTCCCAAAAAAGCATGAGAGAGTAGACTTAAGAAGAGCAGGGAATATGGAAAACAAAGACCCACTCCGTCTAATTGCTAAAATGTCCTTCAACAAGAAGATTCAATAGCACCCTTTCTTCCTATTCCGGAAAAACTAGCTGCTGACTAAACCTCCCCTCGGGTCTACGCACTTTTTATCTTTGTTTTTAGCATCGGCGATTGAAAGAGAGTAGGAGCCCATTCTATTCTATCTATCTCAGAAAGAAAGTCTCAACCCTTTGGTACAAAA